TCCTCCCCCTCCCCCTACTCCTCCTACTACTACTACTACTACTACTACTACTCCTCCTCCTACTCCTCCTCCTCCTCCTCCTCCTCCTCCTTCTTCTTCTGCTGTTTGTATCATCCTATTCTTGCCGCGTCCACTTTTTTTCCTTTCCCTACGCAAAAGTCCTAAGATTTTGTTAAAACCTATTCTATTCTCTCAGCGATGATCTCTCTTTTTCTTCCAATCCACCCAGATTCGCAATTGTATTGGGTGTGTTTTTTATTCCCCCTATCGACACAATTTAGTTAATATTTTAGAGGGTGAGAATCCGACCATGCCTGTCAGGGCTAACGTGGCTAGAGGTATAAATCTCAGCAGGAATATCGAGATACTCCAAAAAACGTAATCATCAAAGTGTCTAACAACTACACATTCGTAACAGCTTATATGAGAACTATAATATCATATTTAAGTCCTACTGTTGCATTTTTTCCGAGACGACCTCGAAGGAACTTAACCTTTTATTTTTCGGACTTCTTCAAATCTTAATTTTCATTCTGCTGTTTCTGGCAAGAAAGTTGAGGTAACCTCTAGGGCTGAGCTTTTTTCGTCGCTGTCGCAAGCAATCCACCTAAACCCAAATTTGGAGAATGTTCAATTTTTCATGCTCCCAAAGCTCTTTTAAAGATGCACCTTTTAACATCACCAAAATGCAGTGTAATGCTGGTCAAGACTTGCATTTTTCTTGCTTTTCATGATTCCTGATACGAACCAAAAGAACAAAACCTTTTCCTTTTGGTCATTTGTGTTGAAAGTATCAAGACGGACTTAAGCGGAGTGCTCGCAACTTCTTACTTTACTCTATAGTATTCTTCGTCTTATACAACCCGTAGCGTTGAGGGGAGACAGAGCTTTCGGTCTCAGGCAAGCTGAATGGCCAGGCTGGGTTTGATGTTTTGGGTCCACGGGTATCCTTCATACCTTTGATCCATGTCTTGTTTGTTTTTCATTTTGATATTCTTACATAGTACGCAACACAGACATTATTGTTAAAAAAACTTTTTTGTAAGTGTATTACGGCGCTCGCAACTGCATAAGGTCATATGAGCGTGCGGGACTCATTATAAACATTTTGGTAAGAATTTTGAACTTCGCCCGGTTGGCGACCGAAGCCTACTTTTATCTTTTTTTTGGGCCATCAAGGGGTCTTTAATGTGCGCAACCTGCTCACGTTACCTCCGATACTTTTAGCTGTTATCCGAGGAGCCTAGGCGTAGATCTTACCCATCATGATATGGGGTGTGGCTGAAAGACAGCAGTAAGAAGGAGCCAAGGAGTAGGAGTACAAAGGCTGCGGACAGAGTCAGGAGCCCAGAGGAGGGGGAGGGGCCATGAAGTGGAGACGAAAGCAGACGATAGAACATTGCGAAAGAGCAGGAAAGGATGTGAAAGGAGAAGATTTGGGTGAAGAAAATTTCCCGATGCTATCCGGGCCCTACTGAATGAGAGGCCAACACCTTAACCTCTAGGCCACGAGAGCCCTGAAATTATTATTATTATTATTATTATTATTATTATGATGAGGCTGATGCTGATGCTGATGCTGATGATGATGACGATGACGATGATTATTATTATTGTTATTATTTATTCTTCTTCTTCTTCTTCTTCTTCTTCTTCTTCTTCTTCTTCTTCTTCTTCTTCTTCTTATTATTCCCTTTCAGAGTCATAGCGGGCGGCAGGAACTGTGTTCAGCATGCCCTGGACAGCAGCTGCGCCACACAGAACGTGCATGGAGCAGTGCACGCTTACATGGACGTGGCCACCTACGCCTGTAGTCCGGAGGGCCGTCAGAGTGCGTTCATTATATTATTTTTAATTTTTTATTCTATTATCTATTTGTGGTGGCCGAATTTTGCTATTCAAAAGGCTTTTTAGTGGCTGCATCGATCAACATGCAGTTTTCGCCAAAATATTCTTTAAAATATTCTCCAGATCATGACACCCTTCGGTTTTTTTTCAGTTTTAAGACAATTTTGCTGCAAAAAGCTAAATTTCTTTATTTCGCCGATCACTTTAGTAGGCCGACGCTTCTATCTCTGTAATTTTTAGAAAACCACCAGGTTTGTTTATTTCAAGTCGTACTTCCGTTCGATACCATGGCGCATTGTCGCGCAATACTTTCCCAACATCTGAACTTACGAATTTGACCAAATTAACGGTGGTTCAGAATCATTTCAGGTGACCTCAGTTGTGTTAAAGAGTCTGAAGTCACTGTAGTTTAATTTTAAGTTTTTCATTAGTTTCGTTATGATCTAATTATGGGAAAGTTGGTCTTCTTGGAAGCCATTGTAAACAAGAGATAGTTCCGTTCACAAACAGTGCATACTGGTTCCACAATGACTTGACGATCCATTCTTTTGAGTCCGTTCATCGAACGGGGTACCCAGCTCGTTATTTTTATATGTCACGACGCGTTGGAATCAGGTGATCGTCAATTTTTGGGCATGTGGAGTTGTTTGTATCATGTTAAAGCTTGTTCTATAGCTGTCTTGCTTTCAAAGGAAAATAATGCTCATCTTTCTATAGTAGAAGTCAAGATATTTGCGACTGAAGGAGGTGGGGGGTTCCCGGTTTTAGAGATAAAATTAACAAGAAAAAAGCGGCAACGTTTGGTGACTTCCATAACTTGGCAGTTCTTGGAAACTGAAAACGTACATTCGTGTGCCTTTGATCAACGCTTTTCAGCAAAAACTACGCAGAAATGTGTGCTTAAATGGACAGAAATAGTGCTGAGACAATTTTAAAAAATCTTTAAACATTTCAAAACCGGTTTAAAAAATAATAATCGCCGTTTTCTTCGATTTCATTGTTCTAACGTGCGCCTAACATATTATTGTTTCTTCATGTTTATTG